TCTCAGGAGGATGAATGCAGAGTTTAAGTAGAAATATCAAGAGATTATCAAAAAAAAAAAAGTTGTGAATAAAGTTATAAAATCCGATTTAGGAAATTGGCCTATTTCTATTATAAAACGAGGGGAGTAACTAACGGTAGTATCCGAACGGGAGTATCACAGTCACGAACTGCGCGTGACTGTGAGGTCAGCTGATTAGGGGTGAGGTGTTTTCGACAGCCGAGCGGTCAATACTGTCGTGTGGGCGCGGAATGACTCACCGAGACTGGTTTACCATATAAAACCGTTTATTAAACATAGAAATTTTCCTTACAAATTCCTTGATTGACGAGGTAGCACCACAAAGCGCGCAGATAAAGTCCGAATAAAGTTCTAAAAATTCTGTTTTCGTTACTTGTGGATGGACGCTGACGGTGAAATACTCCGTAGGCTCCGGGACGTTGATCAAGGCTTTCCGCGATTTCTCGTTGGGCGAACTGACGAATCTTTAGATCGCTAGAGGGCACCCAGAGAATGATTCTTCCAAAATGTTCTTTCATTTTCCACAGATCTGGAGCTCGCACGTCCAGGAGAAGAAACACTGCGCATTCAAGAACCAACAAACAAGAAGACGTAAAGTTTTCGAAAACGTGGTTTTATCCCTTTTTCCATCGCCGTCGCCCCTCCATTGGTCTCTCCTTGTCACATGGTGACAATTCGAAACCCCACCGAAGGGCGCGGGAGAGGTCAACGTCGCGTCTGAACACGACTTCTCTCCAACCTCGTTTTCCTCGACTTTACACTATCTATTGTTTAAAATCTTTTAACAAGACAAAATGTTCATTGTTTAAATCCGATCTTTAAGTTCGCTCTTTCGCGCTACGAAACTTGACTCTTTCAAAAAGTCGTTAATTGCCTTCTTTCGAACCCCGTTTGGGTCCTCACATGACTCAAGACATACCTGGAAGAGTTGTCTTCTCTTCCTCTACTTTCTCTCTCCGTTCTCTTCTTCCTTTTCGTCTTTTTTTTTTCCTCCTTTATTTGGCCACTTACTAGGTCCTACACTAGGTCTGTTGTCTCGTCTGGTCAATCCCCTGTCCGGCCAGTCAATCAGTCAGTCTCTTGATCCTGTCTCACTCTCGTGTTAATTTCGTCACTTCTTTCTATTTTCCTTCGTTTTTGACCAATCATTCTTTAGTTCCGGAGGAAGGTGAGGTAATTTGAAAAATGCATGATTGGTCATCTTGTGGTCCTCCTCCTTTCTTGTCAATGAGAAATAATATGCGCCCAAGTGATACCATCGGTCATATAACACCATCGGAAAAGGGGGAAACGATGGACATCCCCTCATCTTTTTCTTCGCATGTTGTGAGATTTATAAGAATTAATAAATTTTTTTATTCTAATTTGTTTGTCTAAATTATTTTAAATCGATTACAGATGGTGTTTAATATTACGTCAATTTGGCGTCATTCCAACATTTTATAACCATAAATTGCATGAAAGATGACATAAAATTGACGGTGCATATTATCTCGACAAAATTAACACAGTGCTATCGGGAGAGAGAGAGGAAGTTCCGGAGAAACGGGGGTACCCAGTTTAAACATAAAAAGATCCAAGTGAAGTTTCCTAGAAAACGTGACGTGAAGTAAGGTTACCATACGTCCGTATTTTAAAGGCTCTATCCGTGTCCGTACCGTACTTATAAAAATAAACGAAATGTCCGTACTTTTCAACTGATCGCGTAGTTAATAGTTAAATCATAACAACTCAGATTTAAATCTGACAAAAGGTGCTAAATTTTTGATAATTTTTATTGCATTTGGTGGCTACTCGGCAATACTGTATGAGCAAATGTAACGGCTAAAGTTTCTCATTTCCCGGGAAATTTGCCTCCAGCGGAATTACGGGAAAAAAATTTCTTTTCCCGGGATCCCGAAAAATTCCGGGATGAGATAGTAAAATAGAATTTCAAACTAATAAAAAAATTTTATACAGAAATATCATAAATTTGAATAATTTAATGTATTTTCTAGTAAGTAACTAAAAGTGTAAGGTCAATCTCACCCATACCGACGCGTTAGGCTCAATTAATTTATGTTCTCCTACATTATAAGATAAAAGTAAAATAAAGCGTTTCATTGGGAGTTTTAATGAACATAATAATTATTACGAAAAAAATACTATTTTATTTCTAAAGATGTAATAAAAAACATACGAGTAATTGACTAATATAGGAATTTCATATAATCACACTTACAGTTACAAACGATAGGATATAAATGGGAATGTAAGCTTTAACAAATTCTTTAACTTGTAAATGCGAATCCGAAACTAAAGTGCGATGAGTGATGTTTACTTTCAGCGAGTGCTCCGCTGTTCGATGATGCGCAAACACAATACATAGATATTACATGAACTAATAAGTAGAGACTTGTAAGACATAGGTAGTAATATGCAGCATAAAACCTCAAAATTTCTCTCGTAGGTAAGTCAAAATGCAACTTTTCGAATAATAAATCATAGAAAGAAAACCTGAAATGATAAATTATTATTGAAATGCGAGATTTCCCGGGATTTTTCTCGTACAGAATAAACGGCGGGAAAACGGGATCCCGGGAAAGAAGCCCTAGTAATGGCTCTGTTTCTTATAATGAATGTGTGCACGTATTCTAAGTTTTTTTTAAATTCGATACTTGTTATAAAGTGGTAAAATAGTTTTCTTATATTTAAAATTGCATTCTGTGTCCCAAAGGAAAGTGTAACTTGAAAATTTACGCCTATATTTACTAGATTGAAAAATATGAATAAATTCCTTTTATTTTGCCTCGTTATCTCAGTACCTTTAATGCTAATCTGTTAGTATTTTGCCTTCAACTATTATGGTAATTCTAGTAACAGCCAAATACGTAACTATATAAGAAATAAATGTAAGAAAAGAGATCCGCTTCACCTCTGGCTCCATACAAGTTCTCGATGACCCTGAACACATATTAATGCTATCGACACTCAAATTCGTGTTTATAACACTAATTTATTCAAGTAATTTCTATCACGTCGAAAATATTAGAAAATCTATAATTAATATTTTATTATTTAACAATTTGTTATGTTTCACGATCGGCGAAATTTATTACAAATAAGTAAAACCAACGTGAAGTTTTCTCATGACTCCGATAGAGTCCGGCTTTAGCATTAAGGACGACTAATATAACTTATATTTTCAAATTGTACATAACTAATCAAATTAAAAATAATAGTCATTCAAAAATTATACAGTCGACCCCCCTATAAGATATAGATACGTTCCATTTTCTAGGAATCCGATTTCTTACGAGTCATTCCAATCACAGCCCGACACGTGTAAAGTTTACGGACTACGGCTGATTGAAAGGTTTTCTTCCATAAAATTAATTGATTCTAGACTAATCCGACTCAACATTTCCAAAATACGTATATTTTTTCGTGATTTTATAGGAATCGTAATTATAGGGACCGTAATTATAGGGGGTCGACTGTATATATATATATATATATTGTAACGAGATGGTTCATACGTTTTCTGTGCCCAGTACCATCACTTCGACGCCATGTTTAAAAAGGAAACTTTATTGTCCAGGAAGCACGCTTTCACCAATATCTCTGCATGTCTGGTTACATAATTGATATCGTGTTTGCATTTTTTTAATGCGATTGCCGGCGAATATTTTAAACGTAATGTACAATTTCAGATCAGAAATATTAGCGTCAGCGCACGATGTAAATATCCGTGTTATTTCGTTTCAAAAATGGCGTTCAAGTGATGGTAGTGTGTTTATAACACACGCATCGCCTTCAGTTTTAAAATTACATTAGACTATTATATAATAAATAACTTAAGTAAAATTTTTAAAATATAAATGATAGTGGACGTCCTTAATTAATCGATTACGGAGAATGTACAGGAAATTGACAATACCATAAATAAAAATAAAAGTTAACGCGGGCCGGACCTCCTCGAAAAAAAGGTATTAATATAAGCTAAGATAAGAAAATTTAGAAATCTGGAAGAGAAGGAAAATTGGGAGATAGTCTGACCCTCTATTTATTTCCGTTTGTTCGGGTAATGTTCAAAAGTTTGGGGAGGGTTTTTCCAACACAAGTTCATAAAATTCCAAGAGTCACCTTCCTTTCAGGGAAGGAAACATCTGTAATTAACCTTTAGGATAACACGAAATTTTTTTCTTACTTGATCTCAGTCTTTACTACTATTTCTCAAAGGGAAAAAAAACAACTCTTAGGTTACTCTTCTTTGTTTTTCGTTTCATCGGACTCACAGAGCAACTCGTCTTCTTCTATCAGCCATAAATCACCCACGAGCACCACCACCATGCAAGTAGTTACGTCTTGCTCGGGGCCAAAGTAATAAAAAGTACAGTACCAGAAAGAAGAAACAAATGGTTAGAGAACAAAGAATGAGATAAGGTATGTTTTCGTGTGTAGGTCGCCCATCACTAATTTCGATTAGCGTAATTTTAAATTTTCTATTCTGCCACACTCACTTGCCGCTGCTGTTTGCGGATGCTCAACGTTGTCAGATGTATGATAATTTGACAAGAATTTTCATTCGATCTTTGTTTTTTATCTTCATTAACCGAATTGCAGTGATTTACAGGATATTGGTTAAGATGATTAACTGTTGGGTTAAGTGTATTCTAATCTAACAATCAGTAATCCAGAAAAATCACGCAAAATACTATAATAAATCGAATAAAAATATCTAGCACCGAGTTGTATAACTTTTCCGGCACAAACATTTAAAACTGTATATGGCGTCATCTGTTATGATATTTTATTTTTAAANTACATGCACCAGTGAACCTACAACTACACGATTTATATTTTAAAAATAATTAAATTCACTTAGCATTCAAAACTTGCGAATTTTGAAAAAAAAAAAAAAACAGACTTGCTGATTAAATACCGACAACTGTTTAACTGAAGTAAAACGGGTTTTCCCCTTGCTATGGATGTCTGCCTAGTTCAGTTCAGCCACATTCTGCTACAGTTCGCCTTTATTATCAGTTCGAAATGGGGTGGTTCCATAATACCACCTTTTCCTCTATTACTTTTTGACGTTTCGACATTCCAGAATCCCAAAAATATAAAAAAACCATTACAAAACACGCACAAAATTCTGATGTATGTGTGTCTGTTGGTGTCTATATTTTGCATTATATCTGAGGACTTGATGAACCAAAAATTTTGAAACTTGGCATGATTATTTCTATATATATCGGGCATTGATGCTACGAACTTTTAGTAATTAAAGGTCGAGGAGTTGGAAGATAGAGAAGGGTCATATGTCATATATCGAATGAGATCAGACTTAATGAAAATTTTACTAGTTATTGGTATTTATGATTTTTATTTTTAAAAACTCATTTCTATCTGCTAAAGCCTTTTGCATTTTTGTAATAATTAATAACATAAAATTTATTTTTAAATAAAATATCATAACAAACGACCACACACACAATTTTAAATTCAAGCTTGTGTCTTTATAAACTTACTGTAAATACTTTTTTAGACAGAAAAAAGATCTCGCGCAATCCTTATGGATTTTGGACTCGTTGAAATTGGTTGAAATTTTAGTATGTCATAATTCTTCACTGATTGAAAGTTTCAATGGACACGAAGCTTGAAAACTCGAGCTTGACTCTTGCCAGCTTTTATTTAGATTGTGCCTTTCTGTCTGCATATATTATATATAGCCTACTACTATAATGCAGATAAATCGAAAAAAATTTTAGATAGGGATTTGTATTGAAGAGCTAATTTAAAAAATTTTAATGATAATGGGAAGAAGCGCCACATGGCTGCTGTACGTGTTGAATGAATGTTGGTGGTAATTCTGAAAAATTTCTGCTAATTTTCTTCCTTGAATTTTCTATATAAGATTAGCATTAGAGTGTATTTAAGAGGTTCCTTTGCTTAATCTCTCTTCAGTATCACAAGTTTATTTTTATTTATACATACAAACTTAAAAACTTTTTGGTCTTTTTAATCAAATGCGAGTAAGTTTTATCCAGCATTTACTACAAACAGTCTACTGTGTTTTATAGTTTTTAACTCTCCGCACTATGGACGCCAAGAGGGTGTATTTTTTTCTATGCTCATCACGTGTTCGGCTAAGCCCACAATAGGAACGACATACCTGGACTACCCACCATAAAAAATTGTGGGTTTCAAACTAGACTCAGCCCAGATCTCAAGAGCGGCAGATTAACTGTGTATTTGACAACATCAACGATAAGAATTTTACTGTATTTCTGAAGAGAAATTTTACGGTTTTTTTAAAATTGTTATTAAACAGAGAACACATGTCGAAAAATTGCATTTTTAACTAAAATTGAAAAACTTTCAGAGTCAATTCCATCTAGAACAGGTTGCAGAAGATTCTTTAAATTCTCTATTGTAACGTGAACTTCTGTTACGTTACATTCAGTTGCAGCCCATTCTGCTAATTTGTTAGCGAGCAACTCTTTAGAAATATTACTTGTTAAAAACCATTCATGTATTATTATTATTATCGATTCCAGATTCAAGGTCAAAAACTGCTGTGATCTAAGATAAACTTCAGGATTCTGGTTCATAATTTCTTTGCATTTTTCTTGTAATTTTTTCAACTTCATAGCAATCGAAAATTCAAAAATGTAAAAAACATTTTTGTCATTGAGTTTGTTGCTAATAAATTCGTCACATTCTTTTTCCAATTTATAAACTTTGTATTTCTTCGAAGTATAATAGATATTAATAGCATCGTTGATATTATCCATGGAAACTTTATTGGTGTAAATGTACCTGAAATATTAAAATTTTATATTACTTACGTTATTCACAATCAAAGATTAAAAATTGTGATGAACGTTAACCAATTAATGCTAATTAATGCCAATTGAGTGTTAAACGACTATTGGTTAACTTCTGAGTCGTACTGTTATAATAAGTGTTAATAAGTATAAGATTATGCAAAACTTACGTTAGCATGTTCTGAAATGCTCTTGGAGAAACATCTTTGATGACCATTTTGCTATCCATCAGAAGAGGTCCGTAAAACATCGTATAGAAAACAGGACTTACTAAAGCAAAAATGAATTTGTGTCCATTCAAAACCACAATCGATTCATTTTCATAGTTTATTTCAAATTTAATATCAGAATATAAATTTTTCTTAAAAATAAAAGAAAGTCGTTCTGCAAATGTTTTCATATTCAATCGCCAGTTGTTAGGTCTTTTAGGCTGAAAATAAGAATTAAACAATAATTCAAATTATTGTTAATAATCATTAATATATTTTATTTTCCAAAAATTAAAACTTACCATTTCATTGATTAGATTTTGATAATATATTTCTTCTTCACTAATTGTTCCTTCTTTAAAATTTACACCTATTTCAGGCCAACTGTCTGATTGTGAGCTTTCATTGAAATTATCAGGAAGTTTACGTACATTACGAGATTCTAAATGTTCTTTTGGATTGTAAATAGGAAGGTAAGAGTGAGCATTAAGATCTGGTTTTTCCAAATTATTTAACCATTGTTCACATAGGTCGAAATTCTTTTCATTGCAGCTCTGATTTGTTTTGTCAGATTCGGGTATTTTGGAAATAGTTAAATCTTCATCTTCGAATGGTTCTCCCCAATCATTATCTAACTCTGATATTATTGACAATGAATCTAATGAAGTTCCAGGAAAATGCGGCGAAGAATATCCTGTAAAGTTCTTTGTTCTGTGATAAGGAAAATTACAGTTTCTTTTAAGTTCATTTCTAGAAGTATTACTACTTGACATAGACGAATATTCTGATGACGAACTGCAACTACTGTTCGATGAAGACCCACAGCTACTTTTTGCTTTATGAATGGATAAGCCAAGCTGTCCTTTGCATTCCTTTCCACAGGTACTACATGATATTATACTAGCACTTGACATAGACGAATATGCTGACGAACTGCAACTACTGTTCGATGAAGACCCACAGCTACTTTTTGCTTTATGAATGGATAAGCCAAGCTGTCCTTTGCATTCCTTTCCACAGGTACTACATGATATTATACTAGCACTTGACATAGACGAATATGCTGACGAACTGCAACTACTGTTCGATGAAGACCCACAGCTACTTTTTGCTTTATGAATAGATAAGCCAAGCTGTCCTTTAAATTCTCTGCCACAAGTATTACATTCTGCCATTTCTACATTTGATAAAGTTGAATAACGCGAAACTGAACTACAATAACTATTTGTTGAATACCCTGAAACTAAACTACAATAACTATTTGTTGAATATCCACAACTACTTTTTGCTTTATGGATTGATAATCCACGTTGTCCTTTAAATTCTCTGCCACAAGTATTGCATTCTACTGTATCCATATTTGAAGAAAATGTTTTTATTCTATTTTAATCTAGCCACAATACTTTTCTGATAAAAACAATTATTTTTGTTTTAAAAATAAGAATGTGTTGACTTTCAAATGCATTTCAAAGTATATCAATTAAATGAAATGTTTTAACTTCTTACTAGAGTATTTGCAGTTTAGGTTGATGATAATTTTGAATAAATCTTCAGTTTTCTTCGGACACATAATTTTCTCTTCGTATTAACATAAATTAGTTAAAATTTATTTTGACGATTATTTTATTTGCACCTTTTGTATTTAAAGTATTTTTAAAATTTAATTATCAATTTTCCGATAGTTTAGCTGTTTGTAATGTTGATTCAGTTAATGTCTCTTCAATCCGAAAAAATTCTTTTCGGTAGACTACCTCACAGCCAGTTCAGGTTATAATTCCTTTTATTGCTTTTACAGATGCATTTCGAGCTAGGTTAATTTTCTAGCTCCTCCTCAGTGCTACAAAAATAAATTAAATTTTAACAAATTGATAAAAAAAACAATTCGGGTAGATGATGTTACAAGTTACAACAAAAATAAAACCATATTTTATAATACCTTTTAAGAGTTTCCATGTTTAATTATCAAGATGATATATTGAAATCTGACGCTAAGATTCTAAGAGCAATTTTCTTATCGTCTCAACTTTTTAATCAACATTTTGAACTAATTAAAATTGATGTATTTTGCGTTAATTTAAAAAAAAGTACTTAATTATCTTAAATCCAATAATTTCTAGTGTTTATATTCTTTTCAATATTCATGCTATATACTGTAATATACTGTTAATATCCGTAAAATAAATCTAAGAAGTAAGTTAATCACATGTAGTTTATAGGAAAATCAATAGATTCGATGAAAATATTCGATTTGAAAACATAAATATAACAATATAAATATTTAAGTCTTAAAATGGAAAAGTAAAATATTATTATTAAAATAATTTCATCTTAGGTATACAACTATTTGTTTTAATAAAGGAACATGGCCCCCTTCAGAATTCAAAATCTGCAATTAGCATTCATATTGTTTATGTAGGATCAGAATTTTTATCAGCTGCACATTAAGTTTCTATTAATTTCAAAATATATAGAAATGCCATCCTTCTACAAAAATGGATCGAAAATTATGATTTATATGACTTTTATTGAAGCTACCGAGTATGGTTAAAAATCAAGACAGCATAAGCACAATTATTCCAGATATTAGAGACAAGTAAAGCATTTTCAGAGTCACAAATAGCTTACATATTGATTATTGGCAGTCTGTGACATGCCATAACAAGAAAAAATTTAAAAACTAATAAGGGGCCGTCCATAAATTACGTAAGGGCGATTTCGGCCATTCTAGACCCCACCACCCCCGTGTAAGAAACCGTAATATTTTCTTTGATCCCCCTCCTCTTCCCTATCTTACGTAATATTTTGGCGTAATTTTATAGAAAGATTTTAACCAAAATAAATTTTTTTATGAAACCCTAACCCCTTTTTTGGACATAAGGTTTTTAACCTTAGGTCCAAAATATATAATTATTAATTAGTTAATTAATATGTACTATTATTTATAAAAGACTTTATGTGAACAAATTTAAAAATATAAAAATTTAATGAATTCGAATGAACAATTTATTTTAAGAACTTTATTTTTTAATTATTAACAATCTTGTTATTATTATCAATGTCATAATATTTATTTTTATATTAATTTTAATTTTCGCAAAAGACACAAAAAACTTTGCCAGATGGACTAGTAAGTGCGCGTGTAAACAGAAAAGTCGTACAAAATAAAACAAGAGTGAATAGAAAGAAACCACATTCCGTTGCCATATTGATTACATCTTGGCTAAGGCCAAGAAAATAAACTACACGCTGCTAAAATGTGTTAGGTGTACTTGGGGACTAAATAATAAAGCTTATAAAACTCTATATAATGGGGCAATACAACCAATGCTACTTTACGCGGCCTCTGGCTGTGGTCACGTAACTAGTAAAAATTCAGTAGCAAGTAAATTACTCTCTCTTCAAAGCCAGTTTGACATCAGAATTTCAAAGTGCTGCAGAACTGTTTTTACTAATGCCTCTCTGATACTAGCGGAGTTCCTTCCTTTGCCACTATGTATTGTAGAAAAGGTTCTGAACTACTAAATCAGAGCTACGATCGTCAAAGCTCAACAACGGCCTCTACTCCTATCTACGGCTGTTCATACGCCACCACATTGTAATTACTCTATCTCTGATCATCATCCTGTAAACAAGGTTATTTGGTGTCATCCGCTTCCCCCATGGATAATCATGCAGACATTAATATCTACACAGATGGATCCAAAAGCTCCCCTCTTGTCGGCTCGAGTATATGTATCTTTCTCCAAACTGACATATTTTGCCAAAAATATGTTAGAAGGTACAGATACCTCCCACATACCTCTGTCTATCAAGCTGAAAAAGATGCTGACTACCAAGCTGTTCAGTGGGCCACTTCACTACCAAACAAAACTCCGTCTATGAACATTTACAGTGATTCTCAATCTGTCCTAAAATTAAATCACAATTGCAATAGCAATAAAATCGTATATATCCAGCACCATTTTAAAAATCTTGTAAATAAGATAACTTTTATATATGTTCCTGGCCATACTGGCATACTAGGAAATCACAAAGCCGACTTTGAGACTAAGTCAGCTGCAAAGGACACTGATTTGGACTACACTCGCATCCCTCTCTCACGTAGCAACCTTAAAAATTATATTCGTGACAACGCTATGCAAAAGTGGAATCGATAAAAGTAGTTGAGCAGTAAAACTGGTAGAATAACAAGACTTTAATTTCCTAGTGTTCTCATCACCACTTAGAGATTTAACGTTTGCTACTGCTCAACTACTTACTGAGCGTGGTAATTTTAGAAGCTACCTGGCGATGTATAACCGGGCAGAAACTGCTTCTTGTTATTGCTCTACGGAAAACCTAGACACCGTCGACCATACGATCAATCATTGTCCAATTTACGATCAAGACAGACTTATTCTGAAATTAGAAATTTTTTCGCTTGGTTTCAGATGGCCATCCAAGTGGTATCTAGTTTTACATTTTAGTTTTCACTAAAAGCCGAATACTAATTTTATGTTTACTTTGTATCATGTGTTTCGGTTTATGTATTTTTAGTGTTATACACCCATAGGAGTGATGCACTTATTCAAATAAAAAAAGAAAAAAAAAACAGAAAGAGAGAGCGAGAGAGAGAAACCACCACACGGCCTTTCTCCCATGAAAAAACGTGTAGAGCATGAGTCTGCTAGCGTTGTTATTTTATCACGTCACACAAGATGGCTTTAGTACAACGAGCGTTCTTAATAGAAACGGCCAAATTGAAGCCAAATTCAAAACTCCACCACTCGACGAGATCAAAAAATAAAAATAAGAATATTACGTAAGACGAGATCTATTACCCCCTACCCCTGAGTAAGAAATCGTAAAAAATCCTTGACCCCACCTACCCCAAAATACCTTACGTAATTTATGGACGGCCCCTAAGTAGGCTTAAAATTAATAAATACAAATGTATTCTGATAGTTTGAGTTAATTATACATTCTATTTGCAAAATTTCCTTAACTTTAACACAAAATAAGAAAAAAAAGTTAATTTTTAAAAAATTTGCGGGATTTAAAAAACAGCCGGGATCCCGTTGGATAAACCCTAGTACTTAGTATGAAATCTATACCGTGACCTTGAAACTAAGGACCTAACGTTGGTGTCCTGACCTTGTGTTTATAGACCTTGTCTATTTCTTCCCTATGTTTAATTAACATGTATATTTAATTAAAGATATATTTTTAGTATTATTTCCATTTTAAAATTAAATATAATTTATTTATACTACATTAGAGATCATTAGCTATTATTAACGATTAAATTCGTTATTAATGACTAGTAAATGACCCACATACCAGCAAACATATCTACGACTTTTCGCCTTACTAAAAGTAACCTTAATTACGAGTAAAACTTTTCTAAAATAAACATATTTTATATTTTTAATTGCTTAAAAATATTAATTATAATTCTATCGGAAGTAAAACTGAATAATTACTATCTGAACGGAATCGGAACTTATTTCTACATCTACTTTATATAATTATTTTGTATAGAATTAGTAAATAAACGGAATACACGATTAATTAATAATTAACTATTCAATAATTAGTTAGTGACTAATTACAGCAAATTTATTATTGTTGTTAATTAAGTTAGTATAAAAATAATTAGATATTATTTTAAACTTACAAGAGTAGTCCAGAAGTGAAGTCGTTACGAAGTGAAGTTCCGGCTTACACGATGGTTTTGGTTTTGAATTCGAAACTTACGACTTCCGGTTTTTACGACTAATCTAAATATCAGGGGCGTGCCGTGACATTTGATAACAGGGAAGCTGTGTTTTTGCAACAAGCCGACTTCCAGGGGCAATCAGTCAGTGATGGTCTAGGGTCCATTCGTATTCGTTTGTTCGATAAGCCAGTAAAAACCGTAGACTTCTCTAAATGTATTTTTAATTAATAGATTATCTAACGCACTTAATAAATAAACAAGTTCAATATAATTAACTCTGTTATACGGTACAGCCTCGAAAACTCGGCACTCGATAAACCGGCACTCCGGATAACTCGGCCACACCCTGGCAAGGCAAAAAAATCCTTAGTTAATTAATTTTCATGATAAAGACAGCTTTATGCCTCATAAAGTATTTTTCTGGGGTCTGTCTTATCAGGTAAATTACTGTACACAGTGTATTCATTAATTTTCATTTTCATGTAGTAAAGGCTCTATGCCTTCATAAAGGACGTACTTTTCCTTTATTTAAATAAAGGAAAAGTACAATACCCAAAATACCCAAATACAATACCCAAATACAATATACCCAAATACAATACCCAAATACCCTTAAGGGTATTTGGGTATTGTATTCTCAAGTAAACAATACATACAAGTACAGTACAGTATTTTCTGAGGAAACACTCATACTTATTTTTTTAACCCATTCCCGATAACTCGGCATTTTCACAAACTCGGCCACCCTTCGGTCCACATTAGGCAGAGTTATCGAGGCTCTACTGTATTAGATTTAATAGATTCTCTACGCCCTCTAAATGGCAATTCTCGCTTCGATAACATCTACTAATTAAAATATAATATATCTATTAGCCGTAATTATCTCGTTATAATTTTCAGTATTTATTTTATATTGTGTACTAATGTTAAATTCTATTCTATTTTGATTTCCAAATTGCTTCAATTTTACGAAAGATTCGATGCGAGATTTAAAATTTTCGTGTCTTTTGCCAGCTTTACTCAAATTATTTAAATCGTCAAAGCCAATCTCATTCCACACACTAATTTTATTTGAAAATAGTAGGCAAGGCCAACAAAACAATTTTTGCATTTTTATGCATCCACAGAGCCATTTTATATCTTCATAAATTTTATAGTGAAAATGTCGAACAAATTTTTTCGTTGACCTATTTATATTTAATTTAGGCATTGGTCTTTCTCTTTTAATAATGTTTTCTTTTTCATTATAAGGTCTCGACCCAAAACTTTTTGAAATAAATTTTCAATATCGCAATTACATTCTAAATTGCTAGCCATAATATAAGGGCTAAAATTAAAACTAAAATTATAAAAACTTACTTGTTAAAATAAAATGTGTGATGGATATACAATTATACATACCTGATACAAAATATTCGATTGTATGAATATAGTTTTGTGAAGAAATGTACATAAAAATAGCATAAAATATTCTTTACTTTTTAAATATTAAAACAATCCACTTAGTTAAAAGTGCTCCCTATCAGTGACTCGTGGATGGAATCGGAGACGATCTTGGTAGGTATGCGGTGCGTGCATGTGTGACCGAAGGGTCGGCACCTCCTTGGTGCCCTGTCAGGATGACACCACCGCGTCTCGGCGGACACGGAAGCCGCGTCATTTAGGTCACGCGAGCGGTCGCGTAACGGAGCGATCAGAGTCGAGATAGAAGGAGAGACAACGCACCGGAAGTGATTTACTCAGACGCTTTTTAACGTAACAACTGTTTAATGGTTAACGATAGGCTATACATTAGGGTAACAAGATTCTACAAGAAATAAGCGACTGGAGTTCCCGAAACAAACTCCCCATTAACTACTCCAAGTGCAGAGCACTAATCTGCACAAGAAGAAACAAAAGAAAACAACTACAGAGGCCCATGTGCCTTTATATTGATAAACATAAAGTCAAGATCACCTCTGAACTCAACTACCTGGGCGTCACCTTAGATCCCACTCTAAGTTGGAAAGGCCACATCGACAATATCTGTCAAAAAATCAGGCAAAGAGCTAACCAACTCCATCACATCGCGCGTAATACCTGGGGACTAAGCCCCAAAAACTGTCGACTCATATATAAAGGCGCCATCGAGCCGGCTCTCCTCTATGCCGCCCAAATTTGGGGGGATAAAGCAAATTTAACACGCATAAAAAGGAAACTGCTGTCTGTGCAAAGAGACTCTGCAATCCGGATCTGTAGGGCTTACAGGACGGCCCCGACAGATGCCCTCTTAGTTATGGCTAACCTCGTTCCTATCCATTTAAAGATTAAGTACATTAGCTGGATATGGAACATTCAAAATGAAGATCTAAACAACAATGAGACAATCAGTGCTCAAACCAACACCCAGGACGACTTCCATCACAGCTGTCAAGACATAATCCATATGACTCAGGCTTACGGATTAGATAACCAATTTTCCAGTATTGAATATAACCACCACCCTGCTACCAAAGACACCATCTCGATTAATCTCCTCTCCAATACCACCACCACAAACCATGTCAATTGGCATGTGTATACAGACGGTGCCAAGAATGACAAAGGTACGGGGGCGGCTTTCACCATCTGGGACACTGTAAATAACACAACCAGTAAAGAAGAATACCACAAACTCGGTAATCATTGTTCAAACAACCAGGCAGAGCTATGGGCTATGCAACAAGCACTTATTACCATCACCAAACATCTCAGGATATACCAGGGTAACATCGACTTCTTTACAGACAGCAGATATGTGCTGAGTGTCCTCAACGGAACAACTAAACAGACGGCAACAGGTATCAGGGTCTGCTACCTAGCCAACAACCTACACAAGAAAAGAAACATTAGTTTCAACTGGATCCCGGGCCACAGTGGCATAGCCGGTAACGAGAGGGCAGATGCCTTAGCGAAAGAAGTTACAACTTTAAATGTCACTCCATCCTTCAAAAAGATACCCATCACCCTCGTAAAAAGCCTCATTCATGATAAAATCATGAATGAATGGCAAAAGGACTGGACAAACTCTAATACAGGTAGGATCACCTATAGGTTCCTTCCCTCCGTCAAAGACCGCCAACAGCTCCACCATTTTTTCCCGACATACGGTATCACCCAATGCATAACAGGGCATGGGAATTTCCCAGCCTATCTCACTCGTTTTGGTAAACGAGATAAAGAAAACTGTGATTGTGACAATACTTCTAAAGGGGACTCCCTCCATTACCTCCTGGACTGCCCCAACCTGGACTCGGAACGATATAAACTGTTCAGCCACAGCATCAACAAAGGTCAAAACTGGCCCCCAAAGCTTGATTACCTGTGTGCTAATAAAGAAGCATTCCATCTCCTGATCAACTTTATAAACAGCTGTAACATCTTTCAAACAAACTCCTCTAACAAGAGGCATTAATCTGTACTTCCCAAATTATATATTTTGTATATAATTATATTATTTTGTAATTACTATACTATTATTTTGTATATAACTGTCTCGCCAAATTGTATACATGTAAATTTATAAATTGAAAATTGTAATATTACTTTATTCCTGTTCTCCTCCGCCAAATTGGCAATCTGTAGCCATTGTATTTTTGTGACCTATTAATTGCCGATACAAGGCAATCTTGTGATCACATTTACTCTTCCTTTCACTCTCTCTCTCCCACCCCCACCTCACTCTCTTTCTCACCCCCACCTACCATCCCCC